TTGACAGTTAGTTTTGTTGTCTGTTGAAACCTGAAACGTTTTTTTGCAATTGTGAATTTGGTCGCATAAAAATCCGCATGCAGTTCGGGAAAGAAATTTTTCGACTATTTGGACCCTTTTGCCTGCAAGGTTAAATGCTGCGACCTTCTTGGAATTTTTAAAGGCTGAACATGCAAATATGTGGGATGATGTTATGTTAGATTTAAGAAGATTGGCCTGATTCCAGCTTGATGGTTGTCCAGCTCGTTATTCGAGAATAATTAGAAACTGGCTGGACGAAAATTATCCAGAAAGATGGATCGGCCGTGGAGGACCACTCGCCTGGCCTCCACGACCCCCTGACCTAAATCCATTAGATTTCTTTGTGTGGGGATTTCTAAAAGAAAAAATGTACCAGACTCCCGTAACCACAAGAGATATGCTAATAGACAGAATCAGGAAAGCATCTGATAAAATAAGGCCTTATTTGAATAATGCTATACCACGTTCGATCATTCGTAGATGTGAATTGTGTATTGAAGAATTGGGTTTACATTTCGAGCAACTACTTTAGATTTTGTATGTTTGTCCTGACTATCCAATAGCATTTTAGTTGTAAATAATTAATTTAATTTGTTAAAAATAATATTGGAAAATTAAACCAATTAATATTCTGTTTTTTGTGTTTGTTTGGAGTTAGGAATTATTGCTGTGTTTAAAAACACAATCTAAACGATCATCTCAATTACTTGTTATGCCCAAATCGAAAATGTAAGAAACTGAACTGAAGAGAAACACGTAGCACTTGACAACACCCGAATCACTCGTGGAACAATTCAAAGAATATATTTCACCCGTACAAGATAAAACTTGTCGATGAGCTTAACGAAGTCGATTTTTTTGCGAGTTAATTTCCGAACGTTTAATCAACAATGCAAATCCGTTATTTAATTTTTGTTTCTCGGATGAGTGTACGTTCTGTTTACATGGTGCTGTAAATGGACATAATTATCGATATTGGAACGACTCGAATCCACATCTATTTCGAGAGATACACTCCCAATATCCTGAAATAATAAATGTGTGGGCCGGAATTTTCGGAAATCGTAGTGTAGGACCTTTCTTTATTCCTGAAAACCTGACAGGTGCGACGTACTTGGATATGTCAAAAAATACAATTGAGCCGCGAATTACCAAGATAATAAAAAATGACGTTAATTTTAATGAATGTTACAATAATTTCCAGCAGTACGACAGTTCTCGGATACCCATTTCCCGAAACAGTGGATCGGCACTCCCATTGAGTGGCCGTCGAGATTCCGGATCCAAGTACTTTAGATTACTTTCTTAGAAAAGTACAGTTTTTTGTACGAAGCCAGATACCATTCAAGATCTTCATCAGCGAATTACGCTTGAATGGAGACAAATAACTGAAGACATGCTTCAAGATGTGAGGAACAGATTCCAACGAAGTCTTTATTACTTTATGGAGGTAAATGGCACTTATTAACACATTACACTTTGCTTATAATGTTAAAGTAAAGTCTTGTTACTATGGGAACCAAATTCATCATTACTTTTACGACGCAATGCCTTATTATCACAATTTCTAGAATTTTATTATGAAAATAGCTTCACAGCAATTGAAGATAGGTATTATTCAAAAACTTCATGGAAAATCTAAAAATTAGAAAATTGGGGTTTCCATTTAAAAATCTAAAGTGTCACGCAGTATCTTATTTTTGGATCACCCTGTATCGAGTCCAGCGTTCTTTCAAAAATATACCAGAAGAGTCACAAATAGAAGTGCGACCTTTTCCTTGGGCCACCCTGTATATTAAAACGTGTAGCTCTTGTGAAATGCAACCCTGATAGTTTTGCCATCCTTGAAAGTAACCACAACTATACAACACGCAGTACGCTTTCAAGTTTTCCTAGACAAAAGTAATGAAATTTCTATACAAGGGCTGCTTTTATACTGTACCAGAGCTTCTATCTTACAAATTTTCTTGTATAGGTCTTTCTTCTTTTTTTAAATGTACTTTTAAGATGTCTTACGTATCAATTATTTGAGATCGCATCTGGATGATTATATGTTGTCCTTTCTGGAGACAGGTTATGTTCGAAGTTTTAAATTACGACTGTATCCCGTTTTTTGCGTTCTCAAAAACATTAATGCCTCACATCTAAGCGCTGCTCTGCATTTTCTATTGACATCGCAAAATAACTTTCTATAAAGTTATGATAGTCATTATTTAAATGGGTGATAGAAGGGGTTAAAAGGAGCAAAAAGTTTCATATAAAACGGCATTTTTTAGAGAAAAGCGACTTTAAGGTAAAATAAAATCTGATAACGCCACAATGCCAGACGCAAATTGCGACGGAACGCAGTGCGAATAAAGATGGAGTTTTTTTATTTTTGGCTCTTAGGTATTATTTCATTATTTTATAATGTACTCGTAAAATAAAAACAATTAAAAAAAACGGTCTTACCACTAACTGTCTCGACGTATTAAAAAAACCCACTCATAAATAGGGAAATAATTTTGATTATTCCGCTGTTTTTTTCCTTTTAAAACCCACACTGCACTTTTTTGTATGTAAGAAAGGTGTTCAAAATGTCATCCTCCACTTTCCACGCAAGCTTCATTACGACAAACCAAGTTTCTTCTTACTCTAGATCCTCGAAGTTGTCCATTTATTATTTCAGCCGCATTAAAAACTTTTTCGCGAAGTTGTTATTGGACCAGCCCCATAAACCACCCCTTTAAGGGGTGTACCCGTTGGCGAAAACTGACGCGATAAATTTGAGCTGCAACATTTGAATTCTGACGAGCTTCACCGTAAACCAGCAACATGTCGGCGAACTCTTGATTCGAGAACATTGTAAATAAACACGACGACGTACGCGAACAAAAACAAAACAACACGCCCGATGCTCTGTTCGACAAAACGATAAAGTAATTTATCTGTGCAAAACGATAACTAACCACTGTTATCGTTTGCGATCGATTGCCGGTTCGATAAGAGTGATGAACGACCGACGAGCTGTTGTCATGTGTGTTTTAAATATTTAATTTAGTGAAATTTACTTACTGACTACAAATTTTGGCTTAACTTAGAAAAACTTAATGTCATTTATTTGTTGGTTACCCAATTTAAACACGCTTTAGATTAGATTATAAAAATTACTAGCTATCTATTAGAACGTAAACAATTTGTTAGAATCAGCGACCTAACAAGTGATTCTGGAGTAGTACAATATGGCGTCCCCCAAGGGACGGTTTTAGGACCGGTACTGTTCAATATCTACATAAATGACCTTTTTACATTGGACAGCAAAGGAACAATTTTGCGATTTGCGGATGATGCGGTAGTTATATATGAAGGTGCTAACTGGGCAAAACAAAAAATACTCATTGAGGATGATCTTAAAACTATTCTTGAATTCTTTAACAGTAAACTTTTAACCGTGAATATCGCAAAAACCGACTTTGTCCCCTTTGCTTCCTACAAAAATCACTTGCCAGAGTACGACACTCTAAACATTAATCTGAGTTCCAATAACACAATAACTATCAAACGGACCAGTGACATTATCCTCGATGAAAACTTGGAATGGACGAAGCATATTGAATACACCGTGAAAAAAATTAGAATGCTGTTATCAAACTTTAAACATCTAACAGGATTACTGACTGAGAAATCTTTAAAGACGTTATATTTTGCCCTTGTTCAGTCTCATTTAAACTATGGTATCATTGGATGGGGAGCTGTTGCCTCAAGTCACCTCAGAAATCTCGAATGCGTACAAAAATACTTAAACTGATATACAAAAAAAGAAAGACGTATCCTTCCAACGAGTTGTTTACTGAGGCTAATGTATTTGATGTCAGACAGTTATATTACTTTTCAGTACAAAAATCGGTCCTCATTGAAGCAAACTGAACACTGCTATGGCACCAATCAGAAAATGCTGTCTCAGGATGTAGTCTCAAAGCCGGAGAAAACACTCATACAAAGGTCCTGGATTTTTCTCTGTCCAAGAATTTTCAATACCATCCCAGTGTCTTACAAAAAACTAAATAATTTAAACTCATTTGAAAAACAAATAAAAGCCTGGCTGCACGTGGTCCCAAGAGTTAAAATCCATATGTACATAGAAGACACGAGCTATACAGGGTGACTTCGAAGTTGAGTCATTTATTTTAACAGTGAGTAGATCTGATTAAAAGAAATGTTTTTTTCCTTTAAAATTTTTCTGGTAAAATGAAAGTGTCAAAGTTATAGCCCTTTAGAAGTTTGAGTACCGCCCTGTCTCAATAATAATATTATGTGCTCGTGTTTGGCAACAACGGATATAATCCGCCTTATCCGTTCATCGCATCGGAAACAAAAAAGCGAAAGAATTTGGAACGATGTTTTTACAATTATTTTATTCAGTTGTATACAGTCAGTGTCAGTCGGTAACGCGTGAGTGAATAGTGGTGTCTGTTGCGTGGCTCAAACGAAATAAAAAATGGCACATGTTCACGAAAATGCTGAACTTGTGGAGATGATTCTTATTTACGCGGCATCACGGATTTATGCGGATCGGTTTTAGAATCGAGTGCAACCAAGCCCTCGTGCCTTTGTTGATGTAGTACAAAAGGGCTCGTGAATCAGGTGACTTAAGACTTCACAGGTAACATTTTTTTTTATTAATAATATATATATATATATAATATATAATAATATTATATGCTCGTGTTCGGCAACAACGGATATAATCCGTCTTATCGGTTCATCTCATCGGAAACAAAAAAGCGAAAGAATTTGAAACGCTTATCACGATGTTTTTAGTGGTATTCAGTCGATGTGTCGGTCGGTAACGCGTGAGTGAATAGTGGTGTTTGTTGCGTGGCTCAAACGAAATAAAAAATGGCGCATGTTTACGAAAATGGTGAAATTGTGGACATGTTTCTTATTTACTGCAATGATCATCCGGTATTATCTATTACAAAAAGCATAAAAAGACTTACTGACAACTCTCAGCGTGATTTGCGGATCGGACAGCCTGATCTCGTACAACAAAGGCATCACTTCGTCGATGATCTGCGCCTTGTCGAGCCTATCCAAAACGCGTTCTACGCACGAAAGCAGGTTCGACACGAGCTTCAGATCAGTTTGGTTCTTCTCGTAGAGCATCTTCACTTTCGGCAGGATCATGCGACGAATCGCGTGTTCGTCCAGGTAGTCTGCTACGTTCGTCACGGCTACCAAGGCTGCGCTCTGCAAGAAACAAAAAAGAAAAACGATATTTTCGACAAAATATAAGCAGTGCTGGTATAGGTATTTTCACTCATAAAAAAAAGACAAAACGTCAACTTGCTGCGTAGATAGTTAGTTCCTTGTGTGTATAATGGTACAAGTTGGCTAATCAAGAAAGCGAGGTACATTATCTGGGAACCTATCCGTCGCAGAGGGTTGCGACAAGAACAAGGCCAAGAGACAATCTGGCCGCCCTGTATATCTGGGAAGTTGGCATTATACTGATTTTTAATAACACTATATCAATGTTTACGTAATACCTTTGCAGAGCGTCTTAATGAGACTTGATTCTTTGTGAAACATCCCGAAACAATGAGAAAATGAACCTTTCAGGAAGCAAACGTCTCTGATGATTCCCTGCTTCCTTTTTTCCCGGATAGGCTACATAAGTAAAAGTATATTCAACAACTACTTTTAACTGACCTGCACTTGAATCGTAGTACTTTCGAAAGCGTTGTACAGCATAGGCAGCACCTCCCCCCGCACTTCGTCCCTAGGCGTCTTCTCGAGGATGATGTGCAGATTCTCGAGCAGCGTGACTGTCGCTTGAACGGTTTTTGGCGCCGAAAACACGCTCCTGGAACGATAATCGCACTGTAATTCAGCCGCTTTAACGATTTAGAGCTCGGAGAATTGATTGGGGGATCAATGATTTAACAGTAATCCTTTACGGAGTTTGGTTGTTCCGCAGTCTGGGGAGGTATTTTTATGTTTAATGTTCCATTGGACGGAAGTTGTTTTAAAATCGTCCTGCATTTTCTTCTGATCCACTTTTAACCTTATTTGCATTATTACTTTAATATACAGGGTGTTTCAGTTTATTGTTGCGTAACTTTAAAATTCGATAGAACATTTAAAATTAATGCGTAAAATCTATATAAACATGGGTCGAAAAATGCGTGGCTTCCGAAATACAGGGTGTTTAAATTTACTTTCTAAAATAGTTTTTTTAAATATTTCGAACAATATCTGATGTATAATAGTGAAAATTGATATACAAAGGTTTTTTGGTACGACAAAACGAACCATGGGCATAGTTTTACTGTAGCCGCTAGAGGGCGCTCTCTACTGTACCTGTAGTGTAGATATTAAAATGACCGAAAATTTTAGTTAAACAAATAAGTGACTACTTATTTGTCAAAACAGCAAAAATGTGTTAATAACCCATGACAGTATAAAATCTGCTATGTATGATTACAAAACCTTAATATAAGATTATACAACAATCTCAGATTTATGCGAAGAGCCGGCAACGTCATATGCGGTCAGCGTGCACAATCTGGCAACCATGTGACATCCAGAAGGAATATTCTGTTGCCTGATGGATAGCAAGCGGCTAAACCTTCACACAATCTTACTAATTTTAATAATCTAATCTAAAACGTTGTTAAATTGGTTAATTAACAAATAAATGGCATTAAGTTTTTCTAAGACAAAATTTCTAGTCAGTAAGTAAGTTTCACTTAATTGAATATTTAAAACACACGTGACAACAGCGCGTCGGTCGTTCATCACTCTTATCGAACCGGCAATCTATCGCAAACGGTAACAGTGGTTAGTTATCGTTTTGCATAGATAAATTACTTTATCGTTTACTTCGAGCAGAGCTCCATCTTTATTTACACTGCTTTCTGTCGTAATTTGCGTCTGGCATTGCGGTGTTGTCAGATTGTCTCGCTTTTCTCTAAAAAAAAATGCCGTTTTGACCCCCATGTTATATGAAACCTTTTGCTTCTTTTAAACCCCTCTATCACCCATTTGAATAATAACTATCATAACGTATTAGTGTCCGATAGATTTCAACACAATACTGGGTCGCTAAGAAAGAAAGAAAGATGTAATATGTGTGAAATCATACTTTCAGGATTAGCCCAATAACTGTTGGTCTAGGAATCAGTACTCCATCATTAATAAACAAAAAATCAAATTACTGGTAAGTGATCAAAATAGTAGGAAAGAAGGTTATGTGATCTTAACAACGTCTTGTTCGAAAGCGCTTGGAAAATGATTACATGTTGTGAGAAACAGTTACTGACATTCTTTGACGACGTCAATCAAAAGCTCGTTCCATGACTAGACAAATGTTTAAATGTTTATGGTGACTATGTTAAAAATGAAGAAATGTTCCTTATTAGTTAGTGATACAATTTACGTCCATAAAAAAAGTTTATCTAACTCCTTTACAAAACTTAAAGAATGACCCTCGTAATATGCCGACATCCAAATTGGCGTCCACTCAGTGGAAAAGTCCGCAATATGCGACAGATAAGTCTGACGTTCCCCTGCGACGGAGAGAAACTTTCGTAATAACTGTAATTGTTCTTTTTTCTTTCCCATGCCATCCTTCAGAGGACTGCTGGAAGGGGGCGGAATTCTACCTGTTCCAATCCCAACCCTAGATCCAAATCCATTCCCGCAACAGGCAATCTTTGCCGAATAATGAGGTTATCTCAGCCAAAACTGCGGATAAACGTATCGCTGTGATTTTCAGATTTCAAGCTGGGCTATTTCGTTTTAGGAGTACCTTTTTATACCAAAGCAGCCGTGTAGGCAGAAGCCTAAATACCAAGGCACCCGGAATTTTGAAGACGCTTTTGTTAGTCTTGCTTTTAAAGTGTCTAAGGTCCAATTTCACCAACATTAATATTTGACGGTCTCTTGGACCAATGGGAAAATAGCTTATCGAGATGCAATTTGACAGTTGTCAAAGGTATCTGAAAATCAGTGATTTCTATTAAAATGGTTGCCTTATAAATAAGGGTACATAATAATAATAATAATAACACTGGACAACAAATTTTAGTTTTTTAATTGTATCTTGTGGGAACAGTGCACTTCTTTGTTAATTTTGGGGCGCTGAATCCAAAAATGACAATGCAATAAAAAAATTAGTTGCGGTTTAGAAAAAAACTTTTTATTTTTAAGGATATATTAAAAAAAGTAACAAGATTCATATACTTATAAGAATCACTATATGCGCTGTCTTTTTGCTGTTCTTTTATGGATCGTTTCTGGAGCATCTCTACCAAGAGTCCAACAGTAGTCTGCAAGCATGGAAGGATTCCACTTTCGCTGGTACCTTTTTTCCATTGTTGAAATATCCTGATGAAAACGTTCGCCGTGCTCATCACTTACGGCTCCGCAATTGTCAGGAAAAAAGTCCAGGTGTGGGTGTAGGAACTGTATCTTAAGAGAAATATTACAGCCCATCTTTTGATACGATGACAGCATATTTTTGACAAGGTTTTATAGTTGTCAGCTTTTCTTTTTCCCAAGAAATTAGTGACCACCAGACGGCAGCAGTTTTTTCAATACCTGTTAAAGTGTTTTCAAACTGTGTATCTTTCAAAATATTTCGAATCTGTGGCAAAACAAAAATACCTTCTTTAACCTTTGCCTCACTTAGTCTTGGAAATTTCTGACGCAGGTATTGAAAAGCTGATCCATCTCTGTCTAATGCCTTAACAAAGTTTTTCATTAGGCCCAACTTGATATGCAGTGGTGGTAACCTGGCTCTAGGAATTGACGAACAGGCCAGTTTTGACTGGTGTAATGAAGTGCCTTTGCCCAACTGTCCCATTCACACAAAAAACAGCAAAACTTTGTGTAGCCGAGCTGCAGCCCAAGTAAAAGTGCAACAACTTTCAAATCGCCACAAATATGCCATTGGTGCTCATCGTATTTTATGCATGTCAATAGGTACTTCATATTGTCATATGATTCTTTCATGTGAACTGCATACCCTACAGGAAGAGATGGTAAAATATTTCCAATACGCAATAACACTGCCTTTAAACTCAATGTTGAACTGTCTATAAACAATCTCCATTCTTCTGGGTTATAGTTTATATTTAAAGCCGCCAGTAAGCCGTTAATGTTACTGCAGAAAACCAAGTTATTCTCCATATTGAAAAATGGTTCTAAGTCTTTGTGGCGTTTACGAAAAACACATACCGAAACATCGTCTTCTAACAAGTTCCACTGCTGCAGTCTTGATCCAAGTAACTCTGCCTGACATTTTGGAAGTTCTAAATCTCTTACAAGATCATTTAATTCTGACTGTGTTATTTTGTGCGGTTGGTGGCATGACGTGCTTGGTATAAAATCAGGATCTCTTGACGTTGATGGTATATCTTCTTCCTGACGAATCACTCGATCGCCATGATCTGATTCGCAAGTGTAGGATTCTGGGGGTTTTGGAATAGGATTTTCGTCACTGTGAGGCACAGGTCTCATCGCAGATGGTATGTTTGGGTAGTTAATAACCGATTTTTTTTCCTTGGACATACCTGTGGCTTGTCCAACACAAGGTACCATGCAAAAGTAACAATCATTAATATGATTTGTAGGCTCTCTCCAAACCATTGGGACAGCAAACCGCATAGACCGTTTTTTGCCATTTAACCAGCTCCTCAGACTTGAAGCACATGTATTACAAGCAGATGTGGGGTGCCCACTGTTTGTCTTGATCACCTAGTTTACAACCGAAATAAAGCTGATATGCCTTTGTTATTAGTGGAGTAATAGACCGTCTGTGAGACGCAAAAGTCACATCACCACACACGTAACAAAACTGATCTGGATTGTTTACACACTTTCGAGACATCTTGCATGAACGCTGTCAGCCAACTGAGGAAAAAATGGCTAATATAAAACAATATAACGTACACGTATGTATAACGTAACACAATCATGCCGATTACATCATCTTTCCTTGCCGAATATAAAAATGTAGCACGTGCATGCTTGTGAATTACAGTATATTAACACTGTCACAGCAGGAACACATATAATTACCGTATCTCTAAAACGTGAACTAATATTGAAAAAATAAGTTTCATTCCGGTTTTAGCACATTAAAAATAGTAATATTTTGTTGATTTTATTTAGGATATTTTTTGGCTGTTGATCAGTGATATCAAAAACAGTAACGGTCCCAGGTTGGAACCCTGAGGAACTCCAGAAAGTGCCAAGTAGGTCTCAGATTGGAAGCCATTATATCTAACAAATTGTCTACGATCGGATAAGTAAGATTTCATCAACTCCCTAGCATCATCTGTGAAACCAAGTGCACCTAACTTATTTGATAAAGTTTCGTGGTTAATTTTATCGAAACCCTTCGAAAAGTCGGTATAAATAACGTCAACTTGCTCATTACTATCAATGGCTTCCGAGAGGTACTGAAAAATAGAGTCTTTCATCTGCAAGAGGTTTATAGGAAAAGAACACACGGTAGGTGATGTTGAATCGGTAAAATCGCGTATCAATTGAAGAAAATAATATAAACATGAATAAACAGTCGACAATGTTAAATCAAATCATGAATTTTATTCAAAAATCGAATTTCTTTTCAAATTTTTACTGAATTGTATGTAATTTCTTAATATTCAATATGCTGCGGTGTTGTTTCAATGACAAGCTGTCATCTCGTACTTTGACAGTATTTTGTTTTCAACATTTGATAGCTATTGGTTGCTAAAATTTGTTGAAGCTCATTCGCGGACTGTTCCTCAAAGTCGAGACACTAGGGATGAAGGAGCGGTCGTACTGGCCAGTCCTCAACATTTCAGCAATATC